TTGCTTTAATGATTCTAAAATGTTGATCTACTCGATAACATTGGAAGAGTATGCGGGATACTCGTGAAAGAATCACTTATGTGAGAGAGAAGAGGGCCGCTTCAAAGGAGAACTGTAAAGGCTCAGTTCTTTAGAAACTCTTGCAGAACCAGGACGGTGACCCATGGCCAAAACGGGCACACCCATGAGAACGGAACAAAGTTGGAAGGTTCTTGTGTAAAGATAAGTCAATGTTTACACGACGGGAGTATAGTTCAAGGACATCAGGTCTACTAGACAGCCAGTAAATAAACGTGCCTTTACAGCGGAAGGTTCAAAGGATAAAACCTACCTCTCCGTATGCAAGGATCATCCGGTGAACACAACGTGTCCTCCTATCTTCGTGTCTTTTTAAGTCTCGAAAATCAATTTTCATTCATGTGGGGGATTGTTGGAAAAATGTGTTAAAATTGCATTAAATGGTCTTTTTGAAGAAATTATTTGAGTGAGGTCCACTTCCGATTTGGGTCGGGTCAAAGTGTTTTCGGATTTTCCTTGTTAAGGGCTACAATTCGATATATGGTACGCTCAAAACGGATAACGGGTGAATGAGAAATTGATTCTCGAAGTTTACTCGTTGAAATGGAAAAACTGGGAAACTGATGGGTTTCTAGTGTGTTTTATACCACGCCGGAAAACTCGAGGAATTTTCATCCCTTTATAAAGGGAAGCCTCTTTTAAGGAGTTAAGCTTCCTAAATGTAAAGGCTCTCTCTCGCACGCAAAGGGGGGTGCCGATCAAATCCCGAAAACGGAGAAGAAAAACCGCGACTCGTGTGCGCGGGCGACCTGCAGACACGAATGTCGTCCGAAAAATGTATCATTCAAAGATACGATTTAATTTTTGTTTCTTACCGTAAACGTTCCTTTATTTTTTCCAGGCTGGCAGAATCCCTCTGTTTCTGTCCGGACCGAAGAGGGTTCTGTTCTCAACAGAACTGCTCCGCTTCTGTTCGGTTCAACAGAAACCCTCGAGGTCTTCTGGTCTCAACAGAACGCTTGAGGTATTCTGGTCACAACTGAAGGGCTCGAGGTCTTCTGGTCCGTTACACCAATAAATACCCAACATTCTTCTCTTTTAATAATGCGTTAAATGGACAGTTTATGGACGATTCAATGCCCAACGGACTGGTCATTGATGTCCAACATTCAGATCCATTAACACTACATTTAACACACAACAAATCCTTCTATAAATAGCTAGCAGGTGCTTTGCAACAGACACATGGTTTTACACGTTCACAAGCAACCATACACACGTTTTAGCTCTGAAAAACACCTGCAGCTCTCCGAAAAATTCCTCAGTGTTTCTCCTTTGTTCCCGTTCGCCAGAACTCTCGTTTGTGTGCCCAAACGTTAGTTCGTTAGCCGCCTTATCCTGGGAAACAGTCGTTGCAACGCTCCTAGCACCGTGGGAGGCGACGAATACGTTTTAAGGACATCGTGCGTAGCACGAGCTCTGGCTAAACTCTGTCCCATCTAATTTCTGTTTTTTCTTTGGCTATTTATTTCTTAATTAATTTTTTTCAATTAATATTTCTTCGTTTTTCCGAGACACACCCAACAAGGCCGAGGTTAGGAATCTAGGACATCTCTTATGAGAAATGAGTAGGTGGTCCGTGAGCTAGACCGCTTACTCATAATTATTTTTTAAAAATGATACAATTAGCTAGTATTAATAATATAAAAAATATTATAAATAATAATATAAATAATACTCGTATTTCCTCCGTCCCAAAATGAACTTCACAGTCACTATTCACATGGTCAACTTAAATTACTCTTAATCTTATGTTTTGTATATCAAATTTTTATCAAATTTATATTTTTTTATCAACCTTTGTAGCGGTATTAATGTAGTTTCTCAATATGTAAATTTTATTTACAAAAAGTAATCTGAGTATGAACAGAGATCGAGTTGCTTTATCATCGGTCAAGCATCGTAATCCGAAATGGGAAATTCATTTTGGGACGGAGATAGTAATATTTATTCAACTGTGATGATGGTGATGATAAGAGATTCAATAATAATAATTTTATTATAATCATTGCAATATTTTGTTGTATAGTAAGTTCATCATTGATACTATGCACTCGTACTACAAAAAATGGATGACACCCCAGACCAGACCAGAGGTACGAAATCATTCTATTATTTACACTTGTTTAATTTTGTATTAACGTTACTTGAAAAAAAAACTAGTTAATTCTCATAATAGTTAAAGTTAAACTATAGTAATTTGATTGTTAGTAAAAAAAAATAGGTTGTACAAAAAACTAGTTGTAATTCTCATTATAGTTAAAGTGTATTAATTTCATTGTTAGTAAAAAAAATAGGTTGTACACAAAGTGACAAAACTAGTTAATTCACTAGTTAATTTGATTAAAGTAAACTTTAAAATACTAATTTGCTATAACTCGAATTAATAGTTAGATTAATAGTTAATTACTTTATTACAATTTTTTATTAATTGCTACCTTTGACTCTAGTTTAAAAAACTAGTTAATTCTCATTATAGTTAAAGTTAAAGTATATTAATTTCATGAGTTTTTTCCATTTTCAGTCCCTCGACTATTGAGTCAGTGACACTTTTGGTACTCGACTTTCAATTTTTTCATTTTTAGTCCTTCACTATTGTGCGAGAGACACTTTTAGTCCTTGACTTCAATGCTTTTTGAATTTAGTCCCCAGAGTATTACAAAATTGACACTTTTAGTCCTTCCACTATGAATTTGACACAATAAGTGGAGGACTAAAAATGTCACTGTTATAATACTTGATGGACCAAACGTGTCACTTTTAAAAAAGTAGAATGACTAAATGTGGAAACTTTCAAAGATGGGTACCAAAAATGTGTGTTGCACAATAGTCGAAGGACTAAATGTGGAACAACTCAAAGTTGAGTACCAAAAGTGTAAGTAACATAATAGTCAGAGGACTATAAATGGCAAAAACTCTTAATTTCATTGTTAGTAAAAAAATAGGTTGTACACAAAACTAGCTAATTCACTAGTTAATTTGATTAAAGTAAACTTTAAAATACTAATTTGCTATAACTCGAATTAATAATTAGATTAATAGTTAATTACTTTATTACAGTTTTTTATTAATTGCTACCTTTGACTCTAGTTTAAAAAACTAGTTAATTCTCATTATAGTTAAAGTTAAAGTATATTAATTTCATTGTTAGTGATATATTTTATGCATTATTTAATGAGTTTCATGCACAATATGGCAATGCGCCCCCTCCCCCGACACAAACATCATCTAAAGGAAAATCAATTTTCAAATCTACATTTGCCAATCTTATTAAAAAACGAAATCAACTCCCGCTACGCAACAAAGCACAATTAATGAGATTTCTTTGTATTTAACATATGATGTTGATTTTGAAGAAGATGATGATTTTGACGTACTAAACTGGTGGAAGGGAAAAGAAAGAATGTTCCCGGTTTTAGCAAAGATGGCTAAGCAAGTGCTATCAATGCCGGTTTCAACAGTTGCCGTGAAACAAGAATTTAGTTCGGCCGGCAATGTCCTAACGCAATGTAGAACGAGGTTGAGCGCAGAATCTCTTGAGATGCTTATATGCTACCACGATTGGTTGAAAACGGCCCGTAGAGCTCAAGAAATTGACATCACCCCATCCCAACACTTTATGGATGAATCTACGACCGATGGTGACTCTACCTATGTTGGAGATTCCGATCGAATGATTGATTAGTATTTCATGTTTTAATTTTACCTTCAATTCTCAATTGTAACTTGTAAACTTGTAGTTCATATTTCAAATAAATATACGTTCATTTTTTTATATGTAGCAGTTTTTACTGAATTTATAAAATTAATTAATTAATTTTACATTATGTAATTTATTCAAACTAAAACATACAAAAAAAAATTGAAATCAAAAGCCCCAAACGGCTATATAACCACTTTGATAGTTTGGTTGTTTAAAATTTGAATCAATAGAGGCATAGAGCCGTTGGGGATGGGGGTGGGTGGGGGTGGGGGTACAAAAAATTCTATAAATACTTTTATTTTCTAACATTTTTATACACACCTTCTCCAACATCCAATCTCTAATCTCTATTCTCTATCTTCATCTCCATCTATTGTAGAATTATTATATCTACCATTTTTAAGATGGAAAGTCAATTTTGATAAGCAGAAGGACTCGAGGATCGGGATGTGGTACACAGCTTGCAAATGGTGCGGAAAAAATGTAGCATGGGGGTTTCAGGCGGATACGGGATGACAATGAAGCATATTAAGTCATGTGACAAAGCCAAAGGATCGGGAGGTGCGAGAAGTTCCGATTGATTACAATTTACAAAATGTATTTCATATTGTATGTTCCTCTTAATTTGCAAATGTAGTTCCTATTTCATTTCAAATAAATGCACTTGAAATTTGTTTTTAATACTTGTATAAAACTAGAGAGTATAAATTATAAAAAAAAAATAGTTTTAACCTGCCCGGCCCGGCCCGGCTGGTGGCCCAAACCCGTGACCCGGACGGGTGGCCCGGCCCGAACCGGACCTGTCCAAACCTGGGGCCGGTTCCGGGTCCATGTGTTACAAATCGGCGGCCCAACCGGGCCTAGGCCCGGCATGGGCCCGACCCGGCCCGAGTCCATGCCTACACCGCATAAAACATAAGGCCAACAAAGCTTAATTATTAAATACTTAGTAACGAATTTTTCCTATCAAATCATGGGTCTAAATAGAGATACAAATAGGGACCTCCTCTAAATGGGGGACCTATGTGATAGCATTGGTGGCACATTGCATGGGCTGGCTCTCCCCGCTGTCATCGTCTCTAAGTCACATACGATCACGCCCCAGATCGCATCTAAGCGCGTGTATAACCGCCATGTGATCAAGTGACGTCACTCGTAAGCCAACTTCACTTAATCACACAAGGCGTTCACGAACATCGTTCATACCATACTCAGAAAGTAAACATACATAATAACATCACATCATATATTGAATAAATAGCGGAAATATCCAATAGTCAATCATAGGCCACGATTGGCAAAACGTAGGCTCGCAGGCCCAAAACAAGTAACCGTTACAAAAGTATTCATGAGCATAGTTTATAATTCAAAATAGTAAAGGAAGCACGAACCACATCTTCCTCTAGATTTTTTTTCACCCGTGCAAAGGTGTAAACAACAGGCTCTAGTTTCAACCTGAAATGGTGGGGCCCTCGAAGGGGTCAGTACGCGAACACCGAGTGAGTAGCAAGCTAAATGTAGAATAACTAACCTTTCAAGTATAAGACTCAAACATAGGGTGATACATATACTTATACTCCTAAAAACATATGCCTAAAATTTAATAAATACTACATCTCTTTGTTTGATATATTCATATATTCATTTAAGCATTTACTTTATAATAAAAAATTTAGTATTCAGTTACTTTATAACTGAATGTAGGCATTTCGCAGAAACGTGATATGATAAGTTGCTCAAGGCACAACCGTTAATCTTGACATATAGCTGATGAAATCTCCTCACCTGGGAACTCGTGTTTTCTTTCTCTTATTGTGTTTATCAAAGATGATGAAGTAGATGCAGTTTCATTAGAGTCGCTTTAATCCCCTGTTCCCGCAACAGATGTAGACCCATAAGGCTGTGAATCCGAAATAAGTTAGCGAGAAGATGAAGTATCTGGCTGGGATAAAGGTTAGATCAGCGGAGAGGTAGTCCTTGACATCCCTAGATGGTCAAGGTTGTAGAGCTCAGTGCGGACATCCATGGTGACCCCCATGTATTTAGAAACCTAATAATATCATGATGATGATAATAACATAACAATCATAAACCTAATAACATCATAACAATCATGATGATGGTTACACATGTTGAAGCAAACGTCGTGGAAGGATGAATATGGTTGGCAGGAAATCCCTCTGCTATGATCACCCAAACAAACACACTTAAATTAGGCAGCAACACAACAAACCTACATTCAGTTTTATTCAGTTCCTTATTAAGGAACATTGCAAGTAAAGAGCAAAAACATATTAAAACGACATTTTTAGGGGTAACAAAGTTACATACATGATACATCCCATTGCTAAACTTTAAAAAACTCACATATTGTGGTAGCATATCCATTATTGTATGGAAATTAGGAGTTTCCTTATGATAAAATAGATAACTTTTATAATAAAGACTCTAATTGTAAACAAACACCCTTTAAGATAAATTAGGAGTTCTCTTACATCGTAGTTAAAAACACATTAACATCAAAGCTGGTTTGCAAATAGATAAGAGCATAATGTGAAGGAAGATGTTCTAATCAGTTTGATGAATGGTGATCCCTTAATGAATGAAGTGAAAACATGACCCTACCATTTTCCTTGAGATGTCAAGGAAAAATGCAACCTTACACAAAATCAGTTGTTCTTTAAAACAGTTATTTAAAGATCAAATACACATATATCTCTTATTATTATCATCAATTATCAATGTTAGTGTGTGAATGCGAGAACGTATAAATTTATACTTATTAGTTATTATTTATGGAAAGTAAAGTAATTTAGGTATTACATTTCAGGTATTCATAAACACCTATACTATCCATTATAGATCCTGTAGTAGGTTATTAAATATAAAAAAGGGAAAGAGACCATGACAATTGCCAGCAATAGTCACACAAAAAAAGAGACGCAAAAGTAAGGGAAATGCACGTCAAAGTTTAATTATAGGCATGATCCGCCTACTTCACTCAATGTCTTCTGGAACTTTATAAAGCAAAGTATGTATCTAAATTCATTATATTCAATATCCCTTTGCTGGAATGGTGAAGGTGCTCCTAGAGTCATTGGTCTTCTTCCAGGATATGCTGATCAGCTCTTAAACGGAAGAACCTACAATGTTTCTTAAAGAAGTTTTATTTAATTAAATGATTCCATTTCTTTAAGTAAAAGAGAAATAAGTAAGATGAAACGATACCAGCTTAAAAGTAAGAACATCAGTAGTGCATTTATGTCTAGATAAATTGATAAAGTTCGTTTATTTATTTTAGTTTATTTTTACATTCATTTATTCACTCACAAAATGCCTATATAAAAGAGTTTATGCCTACATTTTAACTTAGAATATAAATGAGTTGCCTCATATTAAATTTATCATTTTTTGTGACTTGCCATATCTATACCCGGAGTTTGAATTTATGCACATAAGAAATATCAAATGTGAGAAAACCAAAATTATGCATGATAGATATATCCAATCAAAACATTCAATTTTGGGTCACATACATCATATAATATAAAAGCAAAAATCATTAGAGGAGGCTAGAGAAAATGGAAAACAACACTTCATAGCCCTTGAAATTATTGGACTATATTCATTATCATTAAGTATTAATGAGTTCTCATGTGTGTGTAAACATACCAGCTAATACTTGATCTTTTTATCTCAATCAAATGAAGTGGGTTTGATTCAAAATCATGTGAGGATAAATCCAGTACCACATAATGTTGGACAACATATGCCTTTCAGAAAACAGAGATGTCTATATAAGTACAAAGAATATTTGTTTCAGAGCTTTTTACCTAAAATTCTTATCATGGCTGCCCAAACTTCTGGTTATATCTCATTCATAATTAACTCTCTTTTGTCCCCATCCCCTTGCTGCTTATGCAAAAAAAGAAGCATATTAGATTAGACCATTCATGTATGAGTAAATTAGGTAATACTGTAGTATACATATGCAAAATAAAGATGCAAATCTACAGATTAAAGCTAACTCAATTGAGTTATCTTTATTATATTATTTAGATATATGTAGAATAGATATAGATTCATATATATTACATAACATTGAATACATGAATGAACCAAACCTCCAAACACTATTTTAATGTAGATGATTGCTTCTGTGAACTAATTGAAAGAATCCTTCCCTCTACTGTACATTTGCATGTGAAAGAAACAAAAAAAGATAAGTTCTGATTGATTCCAGGGGAATGATAGCTCCTGATCTTTTATAAAACTTTGCTTTTGTGGAATGAAATTTTAAAGAAAATTCCTTTTTAGAGACTCGGGTATGTGTTTCTATATGGAAATGGGAATCAGAACCGCCATGGATACAACACCTGGTTCCATTTCTGGGTTGCCCTGCCATGATACTGGCAATTTGTTATTTCCAGAATATCTAAGAATAAAAAAATTCAGCCATTTGTTATTATATGTATAATGATTCATTTTGATAAATTGAAACCGAACTTAAAAATTCCATCCATTCGCAGAATATCGAAGCATAAAAAATACAAACATTTGGTTTCAATTTATAAATTAAAACAAAAGCTAAAAAATCCAGCCATTTGTTCTTTACCATAGAAATAGTTGATTAAATTTGACAAATTAACTGGCTTTACTGGAGTCGTTGTTCAATTCCATGTACGGATAGGATGATGTCATTTCATTTCTCTTCGATAGGCAACGCCAGATGTGTGGGTTCAGGGATGGGAGTGATGAAATAGCGGGGAATCGATAAAGTGGAACAGATGGATTACTGGAGAAATTACAACAATCAGAGATGAAGACTGAAACGACTACAGGCAAATGAAAAAAATGAAACAATTGAGAGGAAGAGGTCAGGAGAATCGATCGGAGAAGAAGAAAGATGGGAGAGCTCGATTACGAAGTGAATGAACTCAATGAAGAGAAACGAATGGGAAATAAGGGATAATCCAAGGGTGTAGATTGCGGTGAGCGGACGATTGGGATTGCTATTTTGTTTGGGCGGAAAACATTGTTCAATGAACAGTAATTACTGTTCAATGAACAGTAACTAATTGTATTGTTATTCGAAATGGATCCGAAATTCTCTATGCAATCTTACTGTTACTCTGCCCGATTTTCTACCCGACCTTACTTAGCACTTTTCGGTCTCCCTTACTTTCTCGGGTTCCAACTACCCCAGGTCGGTGATCCATCAAGCTACGATGCCCTTCTTTCTTTGACAACCGCCAACTATGAAAATTTCCAAATTGCCACTATTGATTCAAATATCAGGATATGAAAAGTGAAAATTGTTAGTCCATGTTAATATATTACAGCAATCTATCGATATAAAAAAGATGAGAATAACAGAAAGATGAATACACTAAAGATCCTTTAAACCCTTCTTTGATATATCGTGAACCTTTACAGCAGAATGATGAGCGCTAAGGCTGATAGAACAAATGCAAACGTTAACCCAAACCTAATCCTTAAACGCCTTTTTATATGCGCAGGTAGGTTTGCGTACAGGCTTTACGCCAGGTATATGGGCCAGACACTTGGGCCTCATATCCTTTATACCCTAATAAATACAAGGTACAAATGCACAAAGTATAATAAAGGCTAAGTTATTACAAGACTTATGACAAACTTGATACACAATAAAATAGTCTCTAACAATCTCCCCCTTTGTGATCAAGTGCCGTCTTGTTTCATCTCTGAGCTTTGAAGTAATGTTTTCTTATGTTTAGCGCACGCTCATACTGTCTCCATGATCTTCTCTTATCAAGTTGTTTGATGATGGGCTTCACGATTGTCTCCAAACTGTCGAATTCTTCGAGCGCTTCATCAGTAGCATCAGCAAGTCTTTTCTTAAGATCTTCTTTGAGAGGTAGCAGCTTCTCTTGAATGACTTTCAACGTCCCGTCACAATATTTGTGAATGTCTTCTACCCACATCAGACGTTTTTGCTGTTTATGATTGAGATATATGATTGAGAGCGGATCTTTAAAAATGTGCTAAGGTTGATATTCTTCAAGCTCTTCTCCATATAGAATTGGCTTTGTGAGATTTGCCTTTCGAGTGTTGTTCTCGAGGGAGATTTGCAAGTCGTGAGTAGTGTAGAATCTGATTTGCCTCGGCTTGAATCTTTTAATAGCATCAAATCCTTCCCTGCAGACTCTACTGTGACTTATTGGAAGATGTCTGCATGCCATGAACATCTGGTAGATGTCATCCATTTTCATCATGATGAAGTCATTCTCTTGGCAGATAAATTCGCTAGAGTCTGTGCGTTGAACCTTCTAGCTGTAGAATTTTATGTTGTGGTGATCTTCTTCGTGCACATGGAGAATACTGCAAATCGAATGTATGTTGCTCTTTAAGTCCTTTTCAAGGATCTCTCGTTGTTTTCCTGAAGATCTATGGTGCAGCATGTGCAGATGTCCACCTACAAATTTTCCTTTCAAGTGGGTGAGCCCACAGATCTTTAGCTCATCAAATGCCTTGAGTTTCCCCGGTTGTCTCCAGATTCCCTTTCTGATTTCCTCTTGGAAGGGGGCATTGATTCGTATGTTCTACCAGGGCTTCTCCTTTGTGGGCATTTGACCCACTGATTGCCTGATTATTGATTCAAGCTCCTTGGGAGTGTTCTTGTAGTCTTCCCCTTCTTTGAGTTCCTCTTCATCAAGGCATATAATGTCTTCAGCACACTTGGCCAGTAGTTCACGAAGCCACCAGTTTCTTTGCATATCCTCTGTTTCAGCTTCACATCTCAGAGTATCCCTCTCTGTCCATTTCCGGGGCCATTTGTCGTGTATCACGGCATCTTCCAGCAGATCATGGATGTCCTCAGATGGAGGAATAGAGGGAGCTTGTTGTTGCTTTTGAGGTGATGAATTTCCTTGAGAACAAAACCCGGGTTCACTCGGAGTGCCCGTTGTCATCAGCTTTGAACTAGGTTCTGGCTGATGGCCTGAAGCAATAGATGTATCGAAGATAGCATCCTCAGGACTTCCATCCCCTCCTCGGTTAGTACCTTTTGGAGATACGTCTCGGGATGTTGACTGATGGCCTGATATTAAGGATGTACCGGAGGTAACATCATCAGGACTTCCATCCCTTCTCGGTTAGTATCTTTTGGAGATACGCCTCGGGATGCTGAGTCTAGCTCGACCGGGCTAGATATATTGGCTTGCTTTTGGTTGGGGGCAGGTGATTGTTGGTTGGTTGTTGGTGAGGGTTGGTCTGGCTGCGGATTTTGGCTAGTGGAGGCAACATGCTCAAGTGTCTGTGACCGCTTGTTCTCCCCCTCATGAGGTTCTGAATCGTCGGGTTCCTCATGCGAACGCTTGTGGCCACGGGGACTGTCACGGCAAGTGCTGGGTCGTGGTCGGTCATGCCTGTGGAAAAGCTCAATTAGGTCACGTTCCAAAGGGGTAATGTTGTGATCTGCATTGGAAAGAAGGCGGAGGAAAAGGATGTCAGCTAACTGAGAGGTAGGTTAGTAGGTATGGCATAGGGATTGGGATAGGGTGTGGTCGACGTAGGGGAGGACACTAGCTGTGTATCCTGGGTTCCCCGAGAAGATGAAGGAATGGGAAATTGATTGGTGGAGTGAGTAGATATGATTGGGTTAGGCGATGGTTGGGTGTGAGAGGGTATGGGCTCAGGTGAGAGTTGAGGTGCGGGTTGCTCAGTCCGAACCGCCTGGGTGTTCTTGAATTCCTGTGCAAGAGCGGTCATTGCTTCTTGCACCCATGGCTTAATGGTGGAATCCATGAAACGATTCAGTAGAGTAGTAACATCTTCAAAGGTTGGGTTACCAGTTACAGGGGTTGTAACTGTTGATGGATAGTGTACCCGGGGGGTAGCTTATCCGAGGGGTTATTACGGGGAGTAATATGAGAGAAGTCGAAGCAAGTAAATATAGAGAGAGAAAGTATATTATAAGTGTGGAGCGTTTTCAGCGTGGTTACAAATGGGGAAAAGGGGTGCTATTTATAGTAGCAATAAATGCCGGACAAGGACACGTGTCAAGCGTCCATTGGCCGAGAGGTCACCTCAACTGGTTGGCGCTGGCAGCCGCATGTGGCCGCATTTAATGCGGCTGTTGGATGGGATGTTTGTACATGGTACGGTGATATGTACGCATGTGGCGCGGATATCATGTCGGGAGAGGTGCCCTCGGCTGCAGAGGACTAGCCGAGGGCTCTGAGTGCCAGGGACCCCCTGAGTGCCGAGGGCTCCAGGTGCCGAGGGCTACTGTTTTCTGCCGTTTTTCTCCCAGTTTCTTAGTTTGCTTGAAACCCCATTCTGCGAGAGTTTTGAGCCTTCGGCCAGGGGGGCGAAGGCTACCCAGTGTGCGTTGTGGGCTGCTAAGTGCTTGGGGCGCCGTAATTTGGGGCCTGATGTGCTTCCTGGGCCGGTTGGGCCTTTATTGGTGTAGTAGGAGTCTGTGGGCCGGGGGTTCCCGAGCCATATACTCCATCAGGAGTCCCTCACTCCTTTTGCCGAAAGGTACTTGAGGGAAAAGGAGTAATTTGTGCTTGCCCTTTGATGTTGTCCCGTTGTAATCTCTGAAATTGGTGAGGAGTCGTTGCTTTCATGTCCCTGCCGAAGGCAGTCCCTCAGTTACCCACATGTCGGGACTTGAGGGATTGCTTGGCCGTTTGTTGGAAATTTTCACCATTTTGTAATTTAATGATTTTCCCGAGGGGGTCCTCCAGTCCCCCACTCCTTGAGGCACTTGCAAAGTGGTGAAAAGGAGTAGAGTAGTCGTGCTGCTGTTGTGGGCCGAAGGTTGACACTTTTCGTTTCATTTTGGGGGGATGCCTCGTTAAAAACCTCATTAGGAAAAACCCTGGGGAAAAAATCCTAATGAGGGAAAAAGAGTGCACCGAATTCCCCCAACGATGAATCGAAAATGTGAAACCTTGGTAAAAAATGGAGAATAACGGTAATGCCGAAGGCTCTCCTTGTTCTGAGGGCTCATATGTTGATTAGCCGAAGGCTTGCTGTTGATGTCCTGGGAGGTGCCGAGGGGGGCCCCTCAATCTGGGGATCGAGAGCGTGATGGATGAGGGCAGTAGTTGAATTGTTACCGGGGTGTCCCCTGCTTGTTGATTAGTTGGCGATGAGGATATCCGAGGGCTCTCATTACCTGTGTGCCGTAGGCTACCCATCAATGAGGCATACTCCCCGGGGGCTACCCGGCCCTTACAGTGCTGAGGGGGAATCCCCGAGGGGTGGCCTGATGTGAAACCTTGGGCTTCTGAAGGAGTGATCCCGAAGGCGACTGTTATGTACTGTGTGGGCACAACCCGGGGGCGTCTCTGGGTAAGTGTACCCGGAGGCTCTCCTTGATGAAGTGGAGTGAAGTAAAAAAACCCGGGGGCTCACAGAATATAGTCGTTGGAAATATAGCCGTTGGAATATGTAACGTCAGGATATAGCCGTTGGGGGGGGGGGTACACGTGGCACGTGATGGATGGCTGTCCGTGGGCGGCGTCACCGGTTGGGCGAAAATACGGCGTGTAATGATGACAATCCATCCGGAGGCCCGGTTTCCAGGCCCAAGCCCGGATTCCAGCGCCTATAAATACCCCATGGCCGGCTCCCTTCTCCCTGTGCGAAATCCCTATAGCGAAGCCTTGCCAAAATTTCTAGAGAGAGAAACAGCAGCCCTCGATCAATCCTTGCCTTAAGGTCAGTTCCCCCTGCTCTTCTCGTTGTAGTTAGCTGTGCCCTGTGCCCTTAGGATATAAGATAGAATTTTTTAGAAAACACTAACGTTCCCGAGCCCTCGGACTATAGCCAAGATGTCTTCCCAGAGTGACTCCCAGGACATATCGAGGGATTCATCGGTGGGAGGGGAGAGCTTCTCAGACGCTGGGTCCTCAAGTGGGCAGCCCTCGGTCCAAGAGGACGTCGCGATGGCGATAGAGGTACAGAAAGACCTGACGGCTGAAGTCGAA